GAGCCCGATGCGGGGCTCGAACTCGCCAACCGTGAGATCATGACTTGTGCCCAAGTCAGCTGCTCAACCGCCTAAGCCACCCAGCTGCCCAGGAATTTCTTTCAGGGCAACGGCTCTGAGTCCTTGATGCAGAAGGGCTTCCAGAAGCCAACTGTTGTAGTTCTTCTGCCACAGGCAGGGTTGTTCAAATCTATCTTGGGCTGGGGTTCTCTGAGCCTCATTCTGAAGGGCTTCCTTTGCAATCTTTCCAAGGGTAAGTGTAGCTCATCATTTATTCATTCTCTAAAATATTTTTTTAAAAATTTTATGTTTATTTATTTTTTGAGAGAGAGAGAGAGAGAGAGAGAGAGAGAAAGAGAATGCAAGTGGGGGAGGGACAGAGAGAGAGGAAGACACAGAATCCAAAGCAGGCTCCAGGCTCTGAGCTGTCAGCACAGAGCCCTGTGCAGGGCATGAACCCACGTACTGGGAGATCACAACCTGAGCCGAAGTCAGATGCCTAACCGACTGAGCCACCCAGGCGCCCCTCTTTCTCCCAAGTATTTAGGAAGCACTTACTGTATGCCTGCTAAGATGGACAACGTTCTTGCCCTTGTGGAGCTTAGAGTCTAGTGGGGAAGTTGGACCACACATACATAGATACATCGTGACAAGCAGTAACTAGTGTTATGAAAAAGAAGAGGAGGAGAGAGAGAGAGTCCAGGGTGGGGGGGGGAGCCACACTCCATTAGACAGATTGCTCAGAGACACGTCACCTCCCAGAGGTGAGCAGAAGCCTGAAAGAAAGGGGTCAGGGCATTCCAGGCGGAGAGGACCTCAAGATAAAGACCCTCTGATGGAGAGAGACTGGGCCCAATACGCAGTTCCAGTAAGATCCCTGGCTGACGTGTGGAGAACCGTGTGGAAGGCACAAGAGGGGTATGGAAGCAGAGACCGGTTAGAAGGCTAGCAGGGTCTCTCGATAGGTGCCGGTGGCCTGCTCTAGGGCGGCAGGGGCAAAACAGGTGAGAACAGGGTGGATATGGGAGATTTTCTGAGGGCCACATACACAACAATCCTCAGGGTCCGGGATATACTTCTTTATATCGAGCTAACGTCTTTCTTCTCAGTCTTATAAAGGAATAAAGGAATCAGACAAATCTGGAAACCGGGAAATTTTCTCACTTTAAATCATATTTTAGTTACATTTTCAAGTAAAATGACCAGTACGTTTTCCTTTCCTATCTAGACACGTTTCCCAGTGAACTAGCCCTACATTTAAAGCCACTGATTCACTCATCCGAGAAATGTCTAAAAAGACATTTTCCCTGTATTTCCAGACTTTTTAGACGCCCTGTATGAACAAATGTGCCTCGGCCTTCCACTCCCTGCTAATTATCTGACCGTTTCCTCAGTGTTCTACAGCTCCCTAGGGTTAGCTGCTGCCCCAGCCCCGCTCCTGGGCCTCTGAAGGCGCGCCCTGTGTGCGACGCTCTTGTAGGAGCAGGGACTCTCTCGTATCTGTGCTTCTTTAAAGGGACCCAGACTGTCCCCGACAACTGGCCCAAGTCTGTTCGTCCTTCTGGCCTCAGCTAACGGGTTGCGAATTAGGGAGATCCTCTCTGCCCCCTGGGCCAGGCTGGCACCCTGGATTCACACACCCCACTACTAACAGAGTGGGCAGTCGGTATGTGTTACCTACAGAGAAAGTTCTGACCGTCACAGCTAGATGTTTAATCGCCCTGCAGAAGAATGTGCCGTGGCCTCTCTATTGTAGTGACAGACAGGGACAAAGCCTTGAGTCCTTACTTCCTCTGTCGGTGAGACCGTTTCACGGGGCACAGCTCATGGAACAACTTCTGGCTGGTGAGCCTGGCTGCTAGTAGATACTTGTTTTGGGTGATGAAGTCGTCAACGACCTGCTTCTTCATACCTCGGGCCTGCGGAAAAACCAACAAACGGTTGATTTTTAGTCCCTCTGCTCACTGCCAATGGGCTGTACGTAGAAGCTGAAAAAAAATGTGGCTGACCCGTGAAGTTGTAGTTTCACGTTGTATGGCGACAGCAGATGGCAGCCACACTTGTCGTGAGCACAGCACACAGGGAAGCGGGGTCACTAGCTTGTACACCTGAAACTAATGTCACGTTGTATGGAAACCGTACTCAAGAAAAAAAATATATAAAAAAAAAGAACTGGAAGAGAAATGTGGTGGACCCTGGCTAAAGTGATATAATAAATAAGACGGGTCCTGTCCAAAGAAATAAACACGTGGGAATCTATTTGACAGTGTGGGGCCGGACGCAATGACAGAACTACTTCAGGTCAAAGGAAAATCAAGTGCTCTTTCCACTGTGGAGTTTTTGTATACTTTTTTTTTTTAATGTTTATTTATTTATTTGTTTTGAGAAAGAAAGAGAGAGCGAGAGAGCGAGCGAGCATGCACAAGTGGGGAAGGGGCAGCGAGAGAGAGAATCTCAAGCAGGATCCATGCTGTCAGCATAGAGCCTGACGTGGGGATTGACCTCGCGAACCGTGAGATCATGACCCGAGCTGAAATCAAGAGTTGGAGGCTCAACCAACTGAGTCATCCAGGTGCCCCTGTATAAGGTTTTATGCTGGCAGATTTAAAAAGTCACTTTGTTTTGTTTTGTTTTTATAGATTTTATTTTTAAGTAGGCTCCACACCCAACATGGGGCTCGAACTCATGACCCCGAGGTCAAGAATTACATGTTCTATGAAATAAACCAGCCAGGCGTCCCTTAAGAGTTATTTTGAATTCCAGGCAAATTTACTTCCGTTTAAGCTTGGCAGTAAACTGAACAATTAAAAATAAACTCCAAAGTACCAAGGTTACTAAGTATAAAAGGCAGACTACAAAACCGTATGATGGCCACTTTGTTTTTACTAATTTTTGTGCATTTCAAAGAGCTGAAATTAGACAGACAGCAGACTGTCTGACCACAATCTAGAAATCCATATAAAATGTCAACTAGAAAATCTTATATTTTAAGAAACACACTTTGAATCACCTACTGAACTAAGAAGAGCTTATCCGATATTTAAAAAATTCTCTGAATTTGAATGACTCATGAAAACACTATTTATACACGCTGGGGTATAGCTAAAGCAGCACTTGGAGGGTAATGTTAAAAAATGTATAAAACAGAAAAGAAATTAATGACCTAGAGGCCTATATCCAGAAGTTAACAAGAAACAACAAAAAACATGAAAGGAGAAAGAAGGAAATGATAAAAATAGAGATCCATGAATCACAACAAACATAGGAAAAGAAGAAGAAACAAAGAAGCAAAAAAGCTAAAGTTGGCTCTCTGGGAGAGCTAATAATCAAATGGACCAACCTCTGGTAAAACCCATCGTGAAGACAAGACAGAAAGCACAAATGACCATTATCAAGGATGACAAGGAGGTATCACCACCTGTGTTGCAAAAGTTAAAGTTATTTGAGGACTTAGATGAAAGAGAAAAATTTCTAGAAAAATACAGCAGTATCTGAAAAAACCAGAAAACTTAAAGAGTTGTATAACCATTAAAGGAGGTGAATTGGTGGTAGTCAAAGATCTTTCCTTAAACACAAACTCAAAGCCCAGATGGTGTTACAGATGGTTTCCATGAAACTTACAAGAGGACAATCCAATCTTATATAAAGTCTCCCCGAGAATAGAAAAAGGGAGAACGCACCCACCTCACTTCCTGATGCAAAGCCTCACATGGGCCTCAAGAGAAAGAAAAGTCAGAAGTCAACCTCGTTTCTGAACACAAATGCAAAAATCCTAAACAAGAGTTTAGCAAACTGAATCCAGCAGTATACCCAAAGCATAATATAAGTCATGATCCTGCTGGACTTATCTGATCAGCTCAAATTAGGCTTAACATTAGAAAATGAATTAATCGGGGCGCCTGGGTGGCTCAGTCGGTTAAGCGGCCGACTTCGGCTCAGGTCATGATCTTGCGGTCCTTGAGTTCGAGCCCCGCGTTGGGCTCCGTGCTGGCAGCTCAGAGCCTGGAGCCTGTTTCAGATTCTGTGTCTCCCTCTCTCTGACCCTCCCCCGTTCATGCTCTGTCTCTCTCTGTCTCAAAAATAAATAAATGTTAAAAAAATAAATAAAAGAAAATGAATTAATCTAGTTGGCACATTTTAGATGATTAAAGATTAAACACAAAAAACCAAGATAATCTCAATGGATGTGGAAAAAACATCTGATAAAAACCAATACCATTCAGGTCAACAATAAATAGAAGGGAACCTCCTTAATCTGAAGAGGGTAGCTACAAAATGCCTTCTGCAAATGCCACACTTTATTGGGGAAATGGAGATCAGGAACAAGGATGCCCCCCCAAACCCCCCATCACTACATTTCTAGTCTGCGTCACACCAGAGGTCAGCAGTAAAGTAAGAAAAAGAAATAAAATAGGGGCGCCTGGGTGGCTCAGTCGGTTGAGCGACCGACTTCAGCTCAGGTCACGATCTCGCGGTCCGTGAGTTCGAGCCCCGCGTCGGGCTCTGTGCTGACAGCTCAGAGCCTGGAGCCTGCTTCGGATTCTGTGTCTCCCTCTGTCTCTGCCCCTCCCCTGCTCATGCTCTGTCTGTCTCTGTCTCAGAAATAAACAAACATAAAAAAAAAAAATTAGAAAATAAAATAAAATAAAATAAAATAAAAT